TGAGAGTGCTAAACTGATCATATATAATAAGTTGATAACCAAAGCCTCAAACCCTTTACTTCAAAACTCCAGATGGCTCTTAAGTACATTTATTTCCACATACTGGAAGAAAGTGTTGAGTATAAGCTGAAAAAGGACAAAAGGGCAAAGTTTCTCAACATGTTATCTTTTCCAAACTGAACTGCAAGGTCAATACCCTGAAGACTTGTGAGATATTTCCAGTAACGTCATCAGTAACCATTTCACTCACAGTGCAGTGTCCCTCCACAAGATCTAACTCAATTCTGTAGCCTGGAGAAAGAGCTAATGTTACACTTTTTAAAGTAAGAAACAGTGTACAGTGATAGCAATCTATTAGAAGCAGACACCTGCCAGGAAGCACGTGACACGTGTGCCTTATATAGGCTTTATGGTTTTGCTTTTTTTAGAAAGAGAGAACCATCCTAAAACAGAAGTTCATCTTTAACCAAAACACGGTTGACATGCATATACCTTAAATTATCTGTAAATGGAGATAACAAAGTAACTGAAATAGAAACAAATGTGTGAATCCAATTAAGATTAGTTCTGTGTCTTTTATGTGGGGAGAAGAGTAAGCAAGTGTTTGTTTAAGGAATGTTATTTACAATCTGTTTTACTCTTTGCAAACACATTTGTGTTACATTCTTGCTCCTCTGCAAGGAGGTACTTCAGGCTTTTTGGAGAAATTCAAGTCTAGTTGCCATAAAACCTCATTCTCAACCAGACGGTTAAAAGCTTCAGAGCAAATCATGCATGGAAACACAAAGAGTTTCCTGTTATGGAAGGATAACCAAGGAGAAAAGTAGCTGGTTCAGACCAGTAACATCCATGTAAGCTTCAAATGAAAAGCAGAGCTGGAAAGGCTCAGCCAATGGTATTTGCAGAGAAGGCAGATATTAATCTACAGGACAAATGCTAGGTTTCTGTAATAAAATAATGGCTACTACCCAGGAAAACCAGGAACGGTCTTGGAAATGTAAAGCGGAAAAATTAGGAGTTGACAGAGAATGGTTGTTCCAAAAAGACTGTCATTGGAGGTGGTACAAAAAGCCTAGTAAACTACAGCAAAGAACTTTGTAAGCCTCAAGATAAAGACCAAGGGTCCTAGTTATTATCTAAAATACTAAAGAAAAAAATAATTCTTCCAGCCAGCAGTAGTCATAAAAAACCCAACTACAAAACAAAAACAAACAAGAAAACAAAAAAAGCCAAATCTGTTTGAACATTTAGACAAGTGTGGTTCTATAACAACATGGCAATAATGAGAAAAGAGTCCTACTGAATCAAAGAAGTAATTAGACGTTGCTTAGATCCTAGGCAAAGGACTATGACCCACAGACAGCTAAATGACTTATTTTTTCTTGTTCAGAATTTACTTGCCCCAGTGTGTCGTTACTTAACAGGTAGTCAAGACTAGTATCTGGAGAGGAAGGTAAAACCAGGTTATGAATTTGCTGGAGGAACAAGCTGTTTGCTTACTTAGATACATTTTCTAAAGGGTGCAGAGACTGCCACACTGGACTTGTGCTATCTGTCACCCCTTGCTTTCTCATTGCACTGTTAACCTCCACTCTGACAAATGACCTCAAATAACTACCAGTGAACACAACACCATTAATACTGACATATTCACAGCATTAACAGAGTCATAAAAGGACTGACTGTAATAGTCATTGTATGGGAAAGAAAAAATCCATAAAATTGTCCAACTTGTTACAACAGTAAATTAGACAAATCTTCCACCTTTTCTGTGTAAACACTGTTGGCTAAGAAATGTCAAAAAAGATTCCTTTTCCCTGGCAGAATTAAAAGCCACATCCCTCAGACACAGACATTACCAACATGGCAATATCAGTGAGACAATACAATCATTTCCACATAACTAGTCCAGTAAAACTTTATGGCACAGACTAGACTGAAAGGGAAGTCAGTTAAGTGAATTCATCATCAGTTCTACTACTGAGCTCCACAGCATTTAGAGGATGTTGTCTGAGCCAGTAACCCGTCAGATAGCTTCTTGTCCCTTTCAGTTAGAGAGGGTTCCTGTGACAAAAGCAGCACCTCAATCACTCATGCACTGACTTCATTCCAAAACTCTACTTGTGACTGATTCTTGAACTCATGTAAACAGGAGAATTTAAACCTCCTCACAGAATATGATTAGTCTGAAATAAGGGGTTATGCATTCACTGCATGGCAGGGCTTTCACTAGGGAAGAGCAATAGTGATACAGTTACAACACTGGCTAAGGTCACTGCTTCACCTCTGTATCCTTACAGTGCAGAATGTGAGGCTTTTTATAGCAAAAGGACACTGCTTTTACATTTGTTAAAGGCATTAAAACTGTCTCTCGGAAGTTTTGTGCAATTAAGCTCTCTCCAGCATTACCTGCAGCTCCTGCTGTGAGGTCAATAGCAGCCTGAATAGCAGAGTTAATCCTCATGCTTCACACTTGTTTACCGGTTACTTCAGAGCAAAGTCTCCTGTTTCCTGGTAGGTATGGAGATAGTTGTCTCCTGAGGGAAGAGAAAGATACACAGTTTACAATAACTTGACAGGCAAAAGCATCACAGGAATGCTTTCACATCCACTCTTTCATTTAGAGCCAAAAATTCTTGTGCCCAGGAGTGAGACCTAGCATATTTGTATTTTGACCAATTTTGCTGCATTAAGCATGTCTCCTGGAGTATTACACCTAGCTTCATCTTTCTTGGGCTTTCCAGCTTCTAATTTCCCTGGATATCTCAAATGAAAGCAAAGAGTACATCCAGGGAACAGTGCTGAGCGTTACCTTCATATTGATTATAGCATAGTCTCACATCAGGTGTCTAAGGCTAGCTGGCAGGAATATTTCACCCCTGTCTCAGCTCCTCACCTATAAAACAAAACAGAGAATCTCCTCGCCACATGGTGAAGAGCAGGTAAGAAAACTATCCATGATGGTACAAGTACATTAAGTGGTTCTCAAAAGATGAGTAGAATGGAAATGAACATGAACATCTTGAATTGTGTCTGGCTGTCATGTTCCCAGTGCAAGTTCCACACACCAGCATATTATAAATAAGAATTGAAACTCACCTCTCAGTAAGGCAGCTGGAAAGCAGAAATACAAAAGTGACACTTTGAAATAAAGCATTCAAATGAATTCAGTTTTCAATTTTGCAGCAAGGTACACTGGGCAAGCAGTTAAGCTTATATATCTGGGACAAAAGAGCTCCAACTGTTTCAGAACCATGCTGCTGAGTGAGACACTTGGCTGGTAGTGCTGTCAAAAAGCTGCAGGAGTCTTAAAATTTACCACACAAATACACACGTGAATCAGCACCTCATTGACTTTTAAGCCTGGCTTCAAGCACAGTATATCAGTAAATAGAACAATTGTCACTCTTTTACCTCTTGTAGTACTTCTTTTGAACCCTGTTACCTCTCAAAATACATTTTAGGGTAATACGAATGGGAAACAATTTCCAGTAGGCAACATTGAAAGGATAATAAGAAAATCATACTGTATAAAACACAGCCTTTGTACAAGAAGCACAGATACTTGAATACAAGCAAGGCTTTAAGAAAACCTGTCTCTAAACAGATTTATTATTCCTGAACCTTAAAAATACTCCAGTAGGCCAAATACTGTCACTCAGTGACTTTATCCATCCAATCTGTTTCAGATGTGCTGCACAAATCTAAACATAACGGATTTAAAACAAAATAAATAATTACTCTTGTAATAAATGGCACTAACACATTCAGTTTCCAAACTGTGGCTTTAGACTTGAACTGTTTTGCTACTGACACCATAGCATGCTAGGTGTTACTTCACAATGGAGACTCCAAGGCCAAATTGCACTTTGTTATCCTATATACCTCATTAGTGTTCACACAGCACTCCCCAGTTTTGCACCTAATTTAGAGGAAAAGAACAACAGATCAGTGAGACAGACTTTGAATGAAGGGAATTACTAGAGAGCAACAACTGCTTGTGTTCGGTAAAATATACACTGCTTTCATCGTGCTGGGTGCTTATCGACTTGTGCCAGTCCCGAAAGGGAGCACATGCCAAATCACCCACAGAAAACTTGGCAGCAGAAGGAAAAAAAAATGCCTATAAAAACATGGATTTTAAGAGCAAAGGAAGTCTAGTTGCCTGATCCATATCATCACAGTGTCACTTTCAGAAAATTTAAGTCTTAGTCAAAACTAAACCAGTGTTATATATGTACATACCTATTTTTTTCTTATTTGTAATAACACTAATAGATTAAAAGCTGCTTGTAGATAAAGCAAGGCAACAACTGCTCTGTTATTTCCAAATCGAACCCAAGCCTCAAACCTGAAAACAGAAGCATTAGTTAGTGTAACAGGTCCTGCTGGGTCCTCCGCCCGCAGCCCTAGATGTTTCTCTCTGCTGATGCCTTCTCCAAACACTGAGTAGCTAAACCCAGAAGGCAGCCCTGCTTCTTGCGATAGCCCGCACGGGCAGGCCGTGACTCCGCTCCCCAAGGTCTCAGCAGGCCGGCACCCCGCGCAGCAGCAGCGGGGCGATACCGGGGCTCACCGCGCCGGGCTGTCACACGTGCTCGCGGCCGCTGCGGGCGGGCCGGGCAGGGGCCACACCGCAGCTCAGGCTCCTTCGGGGAGGAAGGCTCGGGATTCCCGTTCCGCCAACACCCGCCCATTTGGAGCAGGACGCCCTGGCCTGCGTTCGGCGGAGGCCCGGGGTGGGGGGTTGCAGAGCCCGCCCGACCCCGGCCCAGCGCCTCCTCTCCCGGGCGGCCGCACGCGCCGCCGCTTCCCGAGGGGCCCCACCCCGCGCCCGCCGCGCATCCCAGGCCTGCCCGCCCTGCTCCCGAGCCGGGGGGACCCTCAGCCCGGCCGATCCGCTGCCCCCGCCCGGCACCGCCACTTACCAGAGCCGCCGTCCCCCCACTGGAGCGGTCCCGCCGCCGCTGCCCCCCCCATATACATATATGGAGGCGGCGATGGAGGCGGCGCGGTCCCGCCGCGGCCCGGGAAAGGCGCGGGCCAGGGTAGTGGCGGGGGGGGGGCGGCGGGGCTGGGCTGGGCTGGGCTGGGCTGGGCTGGGCTGTGTTTAAGCTGGGGCTGGGCGGTGTTTAAGATCAGGATGCAGCCGAATTTATGAATTACAACCATAGTACTTTTTTCTTTTTTTTTGGTTGTGTGGTTGGGTTTTCTTTAGAATTTTGTTATAAAGAAGGATTTATTTAGGAATTGCGTACTCTGGAATAACAGTAGTTTGTGTTATGACTCCCGAGACACTCTCCTAAGCTGTCACTTTCATGATCCTGTCGCATATATAGTGGCCTAAACCACTGTGGTGAGTGCTAATGTCACTTTCCTCAGCTGAAACTACAGAGCGCTTTTTTTTTCCCTTTTGATTTGCAGTTAACTGAAGTGCTTGCAATAAGGCTTGTCAGAAACAATGCCCAGTTGAAAGCAGTACATCATGTATATCAGTGGTCAGTCATACTTGAGAAACACTGTATGCCTGTAATCCCATTTGAACTGCACACGTTTGTATGGATTGGATACCCAGACCTATATATTTGATCTTAGATCCATTTTTTTTCCCACCAAATAAATCTGATGGCTCCTACTTTCAAAGCCGAAACCAAGGCAAAAGCATTATAAATACCATATAGTTGTGTTTATTTTTCCCCATCACTTTTAATTAATTGTAGGGTTCAGATTTGATTTTTCTATATGGTTATTTTCTTGAAATATTTATTTTAAATGCTTTATCATAGAACCATAGAATGGCCTGGGGTGGAAGGGACTTTAAGGATTATCTAGTTCTAACTCCCCTGCTGTGGGCAGGGATACCTTTCACTAGACCAAGTTGATCAGAGCTCCAACCAACTTGGCTTTGAACACTCTTAGGGATGGGGTATCCACAGCTCCTTTTGGCAATTTGTTCCAGTGCCTCAGCACTCTCAGAGTAAAGAATTTCTTCCTAAAATCTAATATAAACTTTCAGTTTGAAGCCATTCCCCCTTGTCCTGTCACTACATGTTTTTTTAAATAGTTGCTTTCCGTCTCTCTGGTAGGCTCCCTTCAGCTACTGGAAGGTCACAATTGGGTCACCCTGAAGCCTCCTCTTTTCCATTCTGAACTATCCCAATTGTATCAGCCTCTCCTCTTAGGAGAGGTGCTTCTGCCCTCTAACCAACTCGGTGGCCCTCCTCAGGACTTGCTCCCAACAGGTTGATGTCCTTCCTGTGCTTGTGACCCCAGAGCTGGATTCAGTATTCGAGGTGCAGCAATTGTGAAGGAACAACAAGCTAGGTTATAAATGGCTTTAGAAATTGAATTATAAATTATTTCTTTAATGTAAAAAAAAAATAAAATTGCTGGGTCTGTGGTAACCAGTTAGTGACTGTGATTTAGTTGCACACCTCAAATAACCTGCAATATTAAAGAGATTACTGTTTAGTTGCAAAGAATTTTGACCTGTGTGGTGATTTCTTTTTTAGCAGGATGGCAGCATTGTTGGAAGATCCAACTGGTGAAAACCATCTAACTCCCAATGCAGTGAAACTTGTGATTAATATGTCATTAAACCACGTGCTGCCTGCCATTGCCATTTACCAGCTAAAACATCAGGCCTTGCGTATTTCAGGATGCTTCTTCATAGCCACGTTCCTCAGGCAGACCACCAGGACCCATCTGCTCTTGTTTGGACTCTGTACAAGAGATGGAGATGGTGACAGCACTTGAAATAATTGCCTGGGAGATTTTATAGCCATGGAATGCAGCACTACAATGAGCATATTGCCACCACGTGGCTATTTCTGCTGCCTGCACCCGTGGCTACTCAGCCAAACCATACTTTTGTCCCTGCACTGGGCTGGCATGGAAGACTTTTTGGTTTTAAAGAGGGATTTATTTAGGAATTGTGTACCCTGAAATAACAGCAGTTTGTGTGTACAGGGGAACCATAGCAGAACTGCCATAATTACCGAGACACTCTCCTAAGATGAGATGTCAATCTGTTTATTTGAGGGAGAGTTTAACTTCATGCTTTACCTCAAAGGATTTAAGCATGACAAAAAGGGGACGTGTGCAGAGAGCTTGGCTTGCAGGTCCTTTGCAGGAATGTAAAAGTGCTTTCTGGGACTAAAGGGATCTGGCTTGAGGTATGTGTGATTGACTTTGGGATGTGATTGACTTTGGGATGTATATGTGATTGACTGTGCAATGGAGGGGCACAACTTCTCTTCAGGAGAGTATTTTGGCAGTGGACAGATGCATAACTTCTGGGAGATGAAAAGCTGTAAGGAGATGCTGTGGAAACTTGTCTGATGCAGTAGAGGAAAGTGTTTCCTTGCAACATATGTTTCTTTCCATCCTGTGGGATACCACCAGTCCAAGTCTATCTTCTGGGTCCTTCACCATTTCTAGCTGATGACAGATAAACCATTTGCTCCCTGTAAGCCAGTTTGCCTTTCCTAATCCATACAGAAATCCTCATTGCCCAAGAAGATGAATGTCAGTTCTTGGCAAGTATTGTTCCGGAATAGCAGCCAGAGCTGCAGAAACAAGACCATCAAAACTCACCCAGCTCCTTGCAGTCCATGTTGTTCAGACTGTTTGGAGAGGTGGGTCATGCAGGACAGTACCACGTGGGGGTTGTACATGGGGGAAAAGTAAGATGCATTCTGCAGGTACACAGGTGAGAATGATTTGTGTACTAATGTACCACAGTCAACTGCAAGTGAGAAGACAGTGTTGGCCTTTTCCAGGGTAGGTTCTACTAATGAAGTGAAGGTTTAGGGGCCACTTTTGAAACATGTTTCAGAAGGATGTTTGGCCCTAACCTAATGCAAAACAGATTCCCTGAGTCAGAGGTGAGCAGCCTCAGCATTAGACATTTCGGTCTGCTGGTATGATTTTATTGCATCAAATTCATTACTAGCATAGATAGTCCCATTCCCTTCAGGATTCCAGAACTTCTTGAACTATGTCATCTTCCTAGTAAGTGTGGAGATTGAAGACCTGACTGGTCTAGAAGCAGAGAGATGAGGGATAATGCAAGTTTGAGGCGAAAATAAAAACCTCGTGTTCTTGCTACAGGTCTTTGGCAGAATTTTTCTTTGCAATGTAAGAATTGTACTTCCAGGTTCTGTTTTCAAAAAATATTTTTTTCTGTTTTGCTTAATATTCTTCATAACTACCACTTGCCATGGAGTTATGCTGTACCCTGAGCATTTTCTTCCTGTTTATTAGCCAACTGCAAATACTTACCCTTTGAATCTCGTGCCAAAACAGCAATCCATAAAACCGACATGCAGAGCTGAAAATGGTATGTTTCTTGGACAACTTTTTAACACTTCTGTCCATTTTTAAAAAAAATAACTCATGGTTGAGATGTGCAATGGACTTATAGAAAGTTAGTTACTGAATATGAACCAGTCTGGGAATTGTCTTGGTACATTGCTTCAGCTGGGGCAATGTGATACTACCAGGCAGCAGCTCACAGCAAAGGAGGGTTGTGACGCAAAGTGTGAATTTAGGGCTTTTGTATATCACACTCCTTGGACACCTGACCTTCCTTGGAAAATGGCTGGATGCTGAAACATCACTGTGAACCAGCCACACACCAAAAGTGCTGTATGGGCTGAAACCTATGTTTTATACTTAATATTTTCAGTACCACAAACTTTAGAGAGAGGTGAGAGACACTTGAATTAGCTGTCTGTAAAGGAATTTACTTTTACGTTTCTTAAAGCAATTTATGCTCTGAAATATAAGATCATCTGTCATTCAGAGAGGTAACTTTGGTCTTCAGATACTCTGCTAGCACAGTTCTGGACACTGCTACTTATTATTTTTGTCCTCACCTGTACTGCTGACAAGACTCTAAAAAAAACCCCCAAAAACAACTCCTATGGGAATGTAAATCTATTAAATCTATTAAATCCATTTCTTAAATATAAAAAAAATATGTATTTCACTCTTAGAAAACCAGCATAGGTGAACCACTGGGGCAGGATTGGTATCTTAATTTGGAGCCAATTTAGTGATTATTTAGCGATGGAAATAACAGGAACAACCCAATGAGACACATGAACTTAGTAAACACAGATCTTTTTTTTCCCTCCACAAAATTGTTAAAGGTAAGTGCTTTGGCCCCAGCAGAAACCCTTGCACTTATCTGCTCTTGCTCAGCCATGAGAGCTGCAGCTTTCCCCAAGACTTTGGGGATCTCCTACCATTAAATGCTTCAGAAGGGTCACCCCAAGTCTTGCTTTCACAGAATCACAGAATTAGTCAGGTTGGAAGGGACCACGGTGGGTCGTCTGGTCCAACCTTCCAGCTCAAGCAGGGTCATCCTACAGCACATTGCACAGGATTGCATCCAGATGGTTCTTGGAGACTCCACAACCTCTCTGGGCAATCTGCTCCAGTGTGTGGTCACACACACAGGAAAGAAGTTTTTCCTCATGTTCAGGTGGAACTTCCTCTGCATCAGTTTCTGCCTGTTGCCTCTTGTCCTACTGCTTGGCACCACTGAGAAGAGCCTGGCTCCATCCTCTTGGCACCCACCCTTTAGATACTGATAGACATTGTTGAGGTCCACTCTCAGTCACCTCTTCTCAAGGCTGAACAGGTCCAGATCCCTCTGTCTTTCCTCGTAAAAGAGATGCTCCGGACTGTAGCATCTTTGTTTCTGCTGGACCTGCTCCAGGAGCTCCATGTCTCCCTTGTGCTGAGGAGCCCAGAACTGTACACAGCACTCCAGATGTTGCCTCACCAGGGCTGAGTAGAGGGGCAGGATCATCTCCCTCAACCTGCTGGCAATGCTCTTCAAACGCGCCTACAAATCCTGGCACAAAGACCTCTGAGAGACTGTCGGTGGCCTGGATGGGTTTGTTTGGCGGAGGAGCAGACCCCGGCCGGAGCCAGGCGGAACGCTGCTGCGCGGAACGCGCGGCGCGGCTTCTGTTCCCAGCCGGCGGCGGGGGCGGCGGCGGGCACGGAGCGCGGGCACGATGTGGGGCCGTGTACGTGTCTGGGGCGGCGGCGGCTTCGCATCGCGGCTCCTCGGGGCGGCGGCGGCACCGCGGCTGCACGGCAGCCCTCACAGGTACCCTCGCTCCCCTACATCCTCACCTGGCGGGGCGGGGGTGTGTGTGTGCCGGCGGTGGCCGGGCCGTATCCCAAAGCGCGGCCTTCTGAGGACCGGGGTCCGCCTGTGCCGCCGGGGCTGGGAGCCAGTGACACCAGCAGGGACTGGGGAATGGGGTCAGTGGAAGGGAATGGCATGGGCTGTGTGTCTCACGTTGCTTTCCTTGCCGTCCTTCTCATCGTGGGGTGGGGTGAGCGATCCGCATGCGTGACCTGGCCATAACTCTGCACCGTGTGGATCAGCAGAGCGGTGCTGCCTGCTGGGCTTTGTTGTACATGCCCAAAGCACCGGCTGAGAGCAACATTTGGGAGTTCGTTTTCATTTTTACTATCAGATTTTTAAGTGTTTTTAGTGGCAGGTCAGTTGTACGTTTATTTATTTAATTTTTTTAGTTTCAAAGCTCCTCGATATTTTTGCACAAGCTCCGATGCTGTGATGGCCTCATGCACGAAACATCTCAGGCTCCTTGGTAGCTGTATTTGCTTTCTCAGGCCGAGCTTCCCAGCAGGAGGCAAATCAGAGGGTAGGTGAAATATAGCGATGCAAACTGCAATGCACTGCTGGTTTTAAATGTCTAAGGCTTGCAGTCTTGCTGTGTTTTCCGGGGGTTTTTTTGAATCTTTGTAAGCAAAGATTAGGCTGAGAAAGTTGGGGCTTTTGAGCCTGGAGAAGAGAAGGTTGCATGGAGTGTCTGAAGGGGGCTACAGGGAAGCCAAAGAGGCACTCAGGAACGGTAGTGATAGAACATGGATACAAATTGAAAGAAGGGAAATTTGGGTTAGCTATTAGGAAGAAATTCTTTACTGTGAGAGTGGTGAGACACTGGTACAGGTTGCCCAGAGGAGCTGTGGATGCCCCAGCCCTGGCAATGTTCAAAGCCAGGTTGGATAATGCCTTCAGCAACCTGGTCTGGTGGGAGGCGTCCATGGTGGGGGGCTTGGGACTAGATGATCTTTAAGGTCCCTTCCAACCCTTCAACATTCTATGATTCTGTAATTTCTGAATGGTTAAGTAGTGTTAAGGAGCATGCAGCCTGAATTAATAAAAAAATGAGCTTGGCAAATACCTGTGGAGAACAACGCAGTGTAAAACAGCAGGACTCTCACCTTCTTCCCAGTAATGAGGTTCTGAAGCTTTCCTTAAATTTTCCTGTTGCTTCTCAACGTTGAAATTTAGAGTTTAATGCTAACAGTTTATGAGGTACAGAGTGACTGAAGTGTAATGCCTTCTGGTACTGGCAGATTTTCTTTTTTTTACACAAAGGTGTGTGAGGTGGGGAGGTATGTCACGATTTTTTCAGATTTGTGGAAATGTTTTATGATCTGCTGAGGTGTTTTATTTTGAATCAAAATAAATATTTAATTTTAATTTTTTTCTTTGTTTTTTAAGCAAAATAAGCAGCTGTGAATTTAGAGATTTAAAAACTTCATTTTAGAATGTCAAAGAGAACAGTTCTTTGAATTTTATGATAATTCTTCTAGAGAATGCAGTTGTGTCTGTGTTGCAGCAATCTCCTGATCAGCTCCCTGCTCTTCCTGGCTTCACATCTTCACCTGCACTGTCAGTTTCAGCTTCTTTGCAAGGATGTGATAAACTAAGTAGAGGAGTTATTTCAAAGGGAAAAATAACCCAAATAATTTTTTGTTCGTTACTGGGTTATCTTTCAGCAGAATCCATTTCCCCACTTGACTGCTATATTGCAGGGTAGGGGAATGTGATCTGTAGTAGTGCCACAAGAGTGAAAACATGTGAAGCTACACGTGTGTGTACAGTCTTTTTTCAGATGGCTGGGAGTGTTGTCTTTATTGACTTATTTTTAAGAGTTTTGGTGAGTTTTCTCACTACCAACGAATTTAAGTATAAGGTACCAGTAGATTCAAACTTGCTCTACTACCTAATGCAGAAACACTTAGGAAGTTTTAAGTTCATAGATTATTTTTCCACAAATAAACAGTGTTTTAAAGTTGTTTACTTGATTTTTGTGATGAGGAAACTGTAAGTAATCAAGAGTTTGCAGTGGTGTCCCAGTCCTTCTCAAAAGCCAAATGGTACATGTTTGGCGTATACTTAACATGCTCAGAATGCACTCAGTTAGACCTAGACAGTTGTAATTGATGTTTTGGGGTTTTTTTTCGTAGGCTTACAAAATTCAGCCTTGGACCCTATTTGTAACTTCTGTTTTTTAACTTTGTATGTCATCTAGCAAAGTACAGAAACCCTTCAGCACAAGCAGCGTGCTTTCTGCCGAGAAAGATGAATGTACCACTTCCAAAGGCAGCACCACTGAGGGGGCATCAAAGAGGCAGGAGGGTACAGCAGAAACACCAAAGCAGAAGCTGTTAGACATTATTGGTAATATGAAAGTGGAAGTGAGCTACAGAAAGAAACTCCAACAGTTAAAAGCCAGTGAGAAGAAAAAGAACAACCTGGAAGGCCCAGACAGTGAAGGTCCTCAGAGAACTGCAGAAAGCATCCAACGGTAAAGTGTAACAAACTTTTCGTGCCCTGTTTTGTCCTTTTTTAATTTTTTTTCATTATTCAGGACAAAATAAACCATCAAATGCCATTTCCACCCATCGAAAAGAATCTTGTAAGGGAGTGTGGTGTACAGATGTAGCTTGGAGTAAATCATAGGAGAGAATCTGGACAGAAGATGCCAGTTGCTTTCTATGACATGCTACCTTCTTGTGCACTGAGATTCTGGAAAGGTAGCATTAGCATCTGCTTGTGGAAAGTTATTTTAATGGGAGAGGAAAAATACTGTTCAGATAAAATACAACGAAACTGAGAAAAAAGAAAAAAAAAATTTAAGAATGGCATCATGATTGTCAGGTCTTCGGACTAGCTCCTCTCCACAATGTGTTACATAATATTTATTACCCCACAGGTCTATGCTGCCAGTGGTTTTCAAGCTGTATGTCCGAGGGGCTGTGCAGTGGCATGGGGCTGCCATTTCCCCAGGTTTGAAAACAACAGCTTGTCACAGTCATTCAGCATTTGATGATTAGTGCAATGTAGGGCAAACCTGCATGTCCCAGTGGCCACCCCTTGGGAAAATATCTGACTAACTTCCGAGTTATTAAGACATAAAATGGCAGTACAGAAGTGACAATTTAAAGATATTAAAGGCTTTTTTTTTTAATTATTTTTAATTTCGTATCTCTTGTGACTCTTACAGAGGAAAGCCTTTAAATCCAGAACTGGTGAAGGCTGCTTCTGCAGTCGCGTCTTCCCTTCCACTCAACAAGAAACAGACAGAATCGGAACTACTTGCACAACTAAGAAGACATGAAGAAACCACAGATAAACAGAAGAAGGGGGAAACTATTAACATACGGTCTGTTTATTGAATTTTATTCTCAATTATGTTCAAAATTCTAATTTTGCAATGTCATCCTGAAGGTGACTGGGTTCTGTGTTGGAAAGATGGCCCTAAAAGATACGTTTGGACAGTTTATCCTTGGGATTAATGTATATTAGTAACACCGTTGGTCTGGTTATACCAAGCTCTAAATTTTGCCGTCGTCTTTCTAAAATGGTTTTGCAGAAACAGAATTGTTTTCCTGCCCAGGATCATTGCTTTCTTGGACAGGCTAGCAAAATAACAGCTCTTTTTGTGAGTTTGTTTGGGGTTTTTTTGTCACAAGCTTCCAAAATTCTCACACAATGGATGGATTTGTAGACGTTTCAGACGTTCTGTCTGGACTGGTGAATTTTCATGACAGCTCTGCAGAAATGAACTAGAGCAGCTCTGTTTATAGTCCCACCCTTCCTTTCAAAACTTTCCAGTCAACCCAAGAAACTCATCTCTTGGCTTAACTCTGTTTCCAGTGTGGCTTTCAAACAGATGAGAAACATTTGTTTGGAAACAGACACAGTTGTGCATATTGCTCTTTTGGATGATGGCTGAAGACAGGTTTTTCATTCTGTTTTTTTCAGCTAGTATTCAGATAACTACTCAGAAAATAAGGCATTAAATCCAGGTGAAATGCTGAACCAAACAGAAAACTGCATCTTCAGCAGAAAATGAATGTGAAACCTTTATTTTCATCTGTTTGCAGCGTGAACTGCAAGCTGCTTATTTTAGTTTTAATTTATTCTGTGAAAATGAATTTGTCCCAAACGAGGATCTAAGTTTGACCCATCTATTATTGTTCGTAGTTTACATGTATTATTGTTTATAGGGATCAGTAAAGGATCTGCTTGGTATGGTTATCAATGTACTGCAAACAGAGCAGCCAACAAGCTAATGATGTTTGTGGCTGATGTCTGCCTTCAAAGTGAGTGGAAATTAAGGAAGAACGTGACAGATGCTTGCAATCAGGTTGAGTTAAATGATTGCCCAGAGTGTGGGGTATACAGTGCTCAGTGATAACTTTGTTAAGCAAAATACCTGTTCTTCAGTTATAAGGACTATTTGTATAAAGCATTTGTTCATTAAACTGTTAATTACCAGTGGGCTTGTGTCCTTTCTGCCACTGTGCTTTTTAGAAGAGCAGAGTACACAAACATCTCCATAGTGGCATTGGCTGTGGGTGGCCAACTTAAATGTAATTAGAACCTACTTGAGTACCTAGTGGAGGACCGTTGGGATACTCACTGAGCTAATATGTGCAGGGGCTAACGTCATCTGTGCTGTCTCCCTTCCCTGAGGTGTACGTGCCTTTGTCTAGGTGTGGTTGGTCTGACTGCTGGCATCAAGGGCTCACTGTCTTTTCACCTACTGCACTTTTCCTGAAGCACTGACCCAGCTCTGGCTGCAGTGAAAGAAAGATGATGACTAAGGAGCTTGTAGTCTAAGCAAAAAGGGTTTTTTTCTCTTGAAAGTGAGTTGAAATTCTTCAGAAATTTGAAAGCTGGAGCTGTATAGTGCCTCTATGCTGTCGATGGGTGGATTGAAATGTGGTATTACAGTATTTTATGTCATGCTTGTGGATGAATCGCTACCATTAGAAAAATACATTTTCCTCAACCAGAATGTCACGGCTGGCTTGGTGTGATTTAAGTTGGCAAATTCTATTCCCTGAGGCAGCTTTGTGACCTAGTTTGTTTCCTCCAGGGAATACACTCCCCACCCCCAGCCCCGCCCCACTATTTGCTGATAAGTTTTAGTTTTCTTCCTTAATAGTTGAGTAACAGTTTGCAACTCTTATCAGTGGATGAGTTTTAAAGAAAGACCAGCAACTCCTGCAGATTTTCATGACAGAAAATTTGGTTATTGTAACCTTTCAGAGTTAGTAGTGACCTTTCATTTCTTTTAGATCAATGTAGTACTTTCAGGTTTCTGACTAGTGTTAAAAATGTTGATTTTACAAAGCCCAGCAGCCCTCAGACTTGATTCAGCGTGATTTATACTCTACAATATCTCAATCCACACAGCACACTAAAATGCTTTTAATGTATTAGAAAGCATTTACTTTTGTTTATACATTATTATTTTGTGTTGAATTTTATTTTGACAAGGGAATACGGGCAATTTAACTTTTAATTTTTTTCTATAAAGGTTTTGTATTCAATATGCTGACACATTTTAAAAGCCAATATATATTCCTCAGTTATTTAAAATATTTAAAAATTAGATACTTTCATAAGCAGTAGACCATATAGAGCTGAACTGTAAAAAACGGTGCTATTGTGATTTATAATATGTAATAAATTGTACGTTTTCCAGATCTTTTGTACCAAATATTTTTACCAGGATAGTGGCATGACCTCCAGAGGTCACTGTTGTATGCAGTCATCTCATCACCTTGTTTTGTAGACAGCATGAGGGCAGTATGTTTGTGAGGAGGGGAAAATATTAATGATACCAGAATTTATTTTTCTCAATGTGGGATAAAGTTTCACTCCATGGAAATCACAACAGCACTACACCAAAATAAAATCTGCGGTTTCAACCTACAAGTTGAAATTTCAGCTCCTGTTTTGGGTGAAGAAGAGGAAAAGTAGTTCAGAGCTTTGACTAAAATATATCCAAAGCTCTGTAGGTCTTCATTTTTAGTATGATAATTATTGCCTGGTAATCAGGAAGGAGAGAGAATCTGTGGTTGTTACAGAAGTCCTACCTCTTCCTATTTCTGAATGGCAGAAGTACCTAGGAACGTAGGTTTAAAATGTTGTGTTGGGACATGAGGTAATATGTAATATCTAACTGCTATCAGTACACTGGGGTTGGAGTGTGACTTTGTAAATTGACGTTTCTTGTTACAAAAGGCATTAAAAGAATCTTTGTAGTTTTATTTTTGTTAATACAGGGGTACTTTTGATGATGCAGGGGTATTTTTAATGATAAAGTGGTGAGTGTTGCTGCCACAAACATTGATATGCCAGTGATGGGGTGACACTAGGATTTCCCAGTGAGAAATATGATACCATTGACTGCACGTTCTGATGGATTTGTAGTGTAGTCTGTCCAAACCTACTGTGCAAAACTGCAGGTAAATTAAGGAGAGGTTCTCTGAGCAATCCTGCCTCCCCTGAAGCACGGGAACGTTCCAGCCTTCTAGGTCACAGCCTAGTCAAGCCAGTGGGCTGGGCTGTGTGTGTCTGACCTTAGAAATTATGTCCCTTTGACCCTCCTAAGTGTGTCAAGCCTCTGGCTCAAGACCAACTTAGTAATGCCAGTAGCCACTTCAGAGAGTAATTTCTAATGTGAGATATGTGACTAATCTGAGATTGTTTTTTATTTAAGATTAAAATGAAATTCTTTAAAAATTGCCTTTAGATACCTTTCAGAGTAGGTACTAGAAGAGCTATGTTGTTCTTGTTCTGCCATTTGAAACCACATCTAAGACTGAAGAGAAATCCTGCTGTGTTGCTGTGGCAATTAGCTTTTACAATTTTCCAGAAGTATTTCTTTCTCGTCAGTAAAATCTCCTTTGAATTAAACTGCCAGAAGCGTAGTTTGAATTTCATTCAAATTGTCATAAAATGGATGTGCAGTATTTTTGACTCGGCCTATTTTTACTTTTTTGAGACCAGATTTATGTCTTAAAACTTGAGTGCTGCAATTTTGGATGCCTGCATGTGACTGGCAGCCGTTGGGTGGAGAGGACAGCTGTGAGGAAGAATTACCAGCTTGGCCTTTACCAACCAACAGACTTGCCAGTTAAGGGAGGCAGAAGGGTGATGTGTTTTGCCCTTTGCATTCAGAATGAGCTGCACACTGTGCTGGAAGAGATCGGAGCATTTACTCTTCACATATGATTTTGGCTACAGAATTACGAAGGAAGATGTGGTCTGTTAATGCTGTAATATGATTATGCAATGCAACAGATTGCAGTGGATCAGGAAAGGTGACCTACTTATTAGGGTGGCATGATTGGCCCATGTCAGCTGATGTGTGAAGTCAAGCTTCCTTTTGGTCTGCAGCAGCACAGCTCTGTCCCTGGGCAGTGTTGGTTCCTGTCCAAAAAACTGGTGATTTTTACCTCCCTGTTTCAGCCTATTTCTTGTATCCAGAGAAGTTCCTCATTTGCTTAAGCAAAACATATCTAGTACACTCTGTGAATATTGGTATGCAGATATATGATTTTTTTTTAGTTGGAAACTAAATAATTTCAAAGATAGTGTTCATTGTAGATTTAGTAGGTTAAAATAGCACTTTTCCTATATATCATGTAACAATTAAATGGTTGAAAAGGTAAAGCTGAGTGTTTGATGGTTTAAAGATGGGTGTATTTTATGAGGAATGTGTAAGTCTGTCTCATAGAGGCTTATGAAACCAATTGAGAGTAGAGTTTCTGGTTAATACATATGACAAACTTCCTCACTTTGTCAATTTGTTGAGGTTTTACTTTTCATGTTTTTAATTTCAGCAACGTTATTTCAGAAATGACAGTCAAAAAGCAGTCCCCAGCTCAGAGGGGTTTGAGGATATCCAGTCGCATTTCCTTGGAGTTGGATGATGATGGTCAAAGAATAAGGCCTGAAAGATTTTCGTCTCAGTCTTTTGACTCCAGAAGGTATGTTTGTTGTGTTCCACTTGAACAGAAGGAGCATGCAATTGCTAATGGATAAGATTTTAAATTTACTTGCCATACTTGAGAGCTTAAGGAAATCACTTAACTATTTTTCAAGAAAAGTACTGTTAGCATTGAAATAAACCATGAGAACATAGTAGTTAATGTTAACCAACAATCAAATAATGTGCAGTTTTTTAATGTTACGTTTTAGATAATTAAAAATACTTGGTGCTGAAATGTAATTGTGTTTGTTTTAACTAGTTTAAATTTTTCTCACTTTTGCCTAATACACTTTCATGGCACTTCCTTAAATTTTTGGGAAATGAAATTTTGAAGGCTTGCTTTCCTCTACTGGAAAACTTTGATAATGTTCCATGTTGAGAAAAGTTTCATCCATTCTGTTGGGGTTTTTAAGAGATGATAAAGTTTATTTATTTAATTTTACCACCTCATTGCAATTAATAAATCATTCTGTAATTTATTTCTCTATTGTCTGTGACATTATAATTGTCCATGAAATTAACTTTATAATTTACATTGTAAACTCCTTAACCTTATCTTGCTGTTATTGCTGTTCTCTTGTATTATGTGGCCAGTCTGTTTTTTAATGAATTAAGGAATGCTCTTACATTTTCAGTTTACTCCTGTAAACTGTGCTTTCTTGCCTGCAGTCTTTTGATTTTTCAGTGGCAGCTCATCATCACATTCCTTCTCGGTATATTCTTTCTCTAACAGTTTTTAGTAATATTAACTTCTCTTGTCATTAATTTACTTTACAAATTAATCCCCTTTTCTTGGGGCTAGGGGCTGGAAGTTGAGGGAATCATTTGTGTTTAGATAGATCGTGTTGAAGACAGAACTTGGATAACTAAGAGAAAAAAGCGCATAAATTTGTGGGTGAGTAGGTGTAGAGTATTCTGCTCTCTTTGGTTATCTAAGACATCTATTTCAGTATATCATGAACAGAGAATTGTGACTTCCATAAGGAACAAATTGGAGCACAGCGATTGGCCGTGTACATCATGCAAAAACATCGAAGTGGCTTATGGCCATTAGAAGTCATTAGAAGAACTTAACCAGCTTGATGAAATGTTTCTGAGTAACTTCCTTATTCTTGAACTGCTAAACTGCAGTGGTGTGTTAGGGAAGCATCTCTTGGGCCTCTTCAGCGTTATAAGTGTGCAGTGTTTTATGTTCTGGTGCAAAGCTGGTAGGAGGTGCAAGAGGGGCTTTTTGTAATGAAAGTTGAAGGGAGAAGAAGTGAAACAAAGATTTTGACCAAGCCCTCCCTCTCCTGAGATATTTCTGTCACAGGCTTTTCATTCAGCTACAGGCTGCTGGTTTGAGGAGCAAAGAAACTGACTTCATTATCAGATGAACAATACCTCTGTAGATATTTTTATACTTTGGATAATTCTCAGACAGAGGTAGTAGTCACATGAACGTAATTTTATTATTGTGCTGCAATTCTTGACTGACTGTGAGAAATACTTTATTTAAGGTGTTGGACTGAAAGTTTTTCAAAGTATGAAAGAACAGAAATAATATGATCTAGAAGTATAAACTGGAAGCCTGAGCTTTTACATGCTCATACACTGTATATTATTTACCTTTGCTAAACTTCTCATTTAATAACATACTGCAAAGTGAATTTCACTTATGTTTGAAAAAATTTATTAAATTTATGATATCTGAGAAGCTGCCTTGCCCTCTTTGTCTGATGAAACTATACTTGGTATATAACTTCAGGATCAGTACTTTAAAATTGTTTTTAAAATCCCTATAATGAGTAAACTGTCCAGTTTCAGGCCTAGATTTCCTTCTGCATACCTGAAAATCTAATGGATTTACATATCAATTGACAGTATGAAAAGGATGGATTAGGAAGAATATCTTAGTTTAAGTCGAGTTAGTAGGTTTCAATGAAATGAGTGATGTTGCATTATAGTAATTTAAACTTGTAATTTTAAAATAAATGTTCTTCCAAGTCATGCTTGTATCTTTGGCCAGTGTGAGTGGGAGTTACACAGAGATAGGAAAATATAATCCTAAATCAACATTCTTTTAAGGCTCTGTAACTAGATTGCTCTATGCTGAAGCAGATCTGGGGTAGTTTCATCACTGAAACGTAATATGACAAGAGCAGGTTTGCAGAAGTAGTTGAGGCCATTAGAAATCTCCAGTAAATCCAGATAGGTGGAATTTTAAGGTCAGAAAGAGTAACAGTGGATATGCAATAATGAAAAGTAGTAATTGTTAGAATTTCAGTGGAAACCTGGAAGATAGTGTGATTAAAAGCATAATTGTTTCTAAACTAAAGACATTGTTTTTCTTTGTTTTCATTTATAAGAATTTACTTTGACTGCTTCTTGAACTCTTGTATTTCCAAATTTTCTTTTTTAGTCTAAGCTTATACTAATGTTAAATGTGATTGAAAATAGATGGTCAGAGTGAAATATTTTTATATTCAGAAGAGAGAGCTACTTAAAACATATCATAGGGGTATACTCTGACTGTTTGCCATATGACAGAGAAGGTGGCTTTGTAATCTTCCAAAAAGGCTATTTATGTCATAAAGCAGGAATTATTTGATTTAGCTGTTGCCTTTTCTGTTCCTGAATTGTGCAATATTTTTTACAGGGAAAAAACCCAAGTCTTCAGATAGTTGCAACTTTGTAAAATCACTTAAGTACTGTGGTTTGATACTGTTTACCTTTCTTCAGATTCCTAAATACTCCAGTAAAAAGTAACTACAAATGTAATGTTTGATTTATGCTCATTCTTTTGCATGGAAATGTTTTGAGAGGCTCTGTTACAGACAAATAATAAAGTCATAAACACTTCCTCTGGTTTAAAGCCTGAGAATTTAGTGAGAGGCACTATCTCCTTTTTTTTTTTTTTCTCCAGAGATCTGTTAGTTCATGAAAATATTTTGTGCTTTTTAATTTGCTAGCTGGCAATGTTGTGAGGTGTTGTGAAATACTAAATATCGGTTTTCTTTTTTGTTTATAGAAGTCTCAAAGTAGGAAAGAGACTTAATATATTCACTAAGGCTTCTACAGAACCAGAACGCGCACTGAAAACAGGTTAGTGGAAATTCAGTAATGAAAAACCCAGTGAGGCCAAGTTCTGCATTTTTAGAATATCAAGAGATTCATTGCTGTGAGGAGACTTATGACCTGTTCACTTTCTGCTTTCAGACTGATAAATGACTACTTTAATGTAACTCTGATTTTTAGCAAGCAAAACTTCCATACAGATTATTTTCTGTAGTGATCAGGGCATTCTGTTACTGAATTTGAACGGTATAACCGGCTTTTTGTCACAAATGTACTCCTGTGAGTGTAAAGCCAGCCTGGAGAATGGGTATGTTGGCTCCAGCTTATTTGTCAAGTTGCAAAGAAATGTGAGGCTGTGATTGCAGGAAAACAAACTCTAGAGGTGGCTAAGCATAAGCAGGGTAGTATAAAACCGAGATTACACACTGGATTGCTCTGTGGCCTTCCTTTGTTTAGTGTTCCAGTTGCAGCTTGAGAGATCCCGTTCAGTGACTGACAAACGACACCTTGCTTTACGTGTTGTAAAGCTCTTCATATGTGTTTAGAATCATAGAGTAGTTTGGGTCGGAAGGGACCTTTAAAGGTCATCTAGTTCAAACACCCCTGCAGTGAGCAGATATGTCTTCCACTAGATCAGGTTGCTCAGAGCCCCGTCCAACCTGACCTTGAATGTTTCCAGGGATGGGGCATATACCAGCCCTCTATGCAACCATTTCCAGTATTTTACCACCCTCATTGGAAAAAATTTCTTCCTTTTTATCTACTCTGAATCTACCCTCTTTTAGTTTAAAACCACTACTCCCTTGTCCTGTTGCAACAGGCCTACTAAAAATTCTGTCCTTATCTTACTTACAAGTTCCCCTTAAATATTGAAAGGATTGTAATAAGGTCACTCTGGAGCCTTCTCTTCTCCACGAGAAACCATCCCAGCTCTCTCAGTGCATCCTTTTAGTCATCTTCATGGCCCTCCTCTGGAGCTACTCTAACAGGTTGATGTCCTTCCTGTTCTGAGGACCCCAGAGCTGGGTGGAATGTTCCAGGTGAGAGCAGAGTAGAGGGGCAGAATCTCCTCTTTCAACTTGTTTGCCACAATTCATTTTACGGTTCCAGTTGGCTTTCTGGGCTGTAAATGCATGTGGCTGGTTCATGTCCAGTTTTTATCCACCAATATGCTTAAATTGTTCTTGGCAGGGCTGCTCTCAGTCCCTTGATCTCCCAGCCTGTATTGATATTGGGGATTGCCCTGGTCCAGGTGCAGCACCTTGCACTTGACCTTGTTGAACCTCATGAGATTCCCATGGGACCTCTTCTTGAGCTTGTCCAGGTCTCTCTGGATGGCATCCCATCCTTCAGGTGTGTCAACCACACTGCTCAGCTTGGTGTCATGTGCAAATTTGCTGAGGGTGCACTTGATCCCTTTGTCTGTGGTGTTGATGAAGACACTGAACAATACCAGTCCCATTACAGATTCCTGAGCAACACCACTTTGTCACTGATCACCATCCAGACACTGAGCCCTTCGTCACTACTCTCTGGATGCGACCAGCCAACCAATTCCTCATCCACCAACTATACATACCAAAAGTCCTATAAAATAAAAAACACCCCAACAAAACACAAAGTCAAAACAGGTATGACCCACCTTTATGTTCACTGAATGGCATAGCTCTGCAGGAACAGTCTTCATGACGCATGACAGGGATAGCTTTCATGCCTGAAGACTCAGCTTTATTACAGACTGGGTTTGGCTAAGAGTGTGAATATGGGCAAGTCGTGTAAAGAACTCCTTCTCTCCCTTTTCTTTCTGAACAATGAAACTGCATTGTTAGTATTGATCTTTAATATGCTGCTTTCCCTCAAGTATTCTGAGGCCCTTTCAAAAGAAGACTTTATTCCACTGTGGTGACTTAGAACTTTGTGTAAAGCCAGCAGTGGCAGAAGAAATAGTACTCCTCTCTGATATCTTAGAAAATGATGCATATTTGTTTGTTTCAAGAGTAGGACTGTTAGTTTTTGCCAGATTCTAGATGAGTACTTTTATCTTTTTTTTTTACACTTGAAACTGCAGGGAGAAATTAATTTTTTTAATTTCTTTAGTAAAATGTAAAATAGTGCTGTTTGCATATTTTCAAGCAGCTGTGAGGTTTCGGAATTCAGCTACCTCTGAAATTTGCTTATTATACCGGAATTCAATTTTTTTAAGACTGCCAATATCTTTAAAGTCTCCATTTTACATATAAAAACAACAAGTTGTGCAGTGTTTGTTTTTAGCCATCTTAACAAGTGTAGTGTTGAAGAAGCTGGCTTTTGACTTGATTCAAATTTACTCAGGTAAAATGGTGAGAACTTAAGCTTTCTTTTTCTCATGAGCAGAATGCAGACACAATGGCTCATAGTAGTCACTAGATAAAAAGCTGAGATGCACCTTTTTTTTTAAACACAAAACGGGAATGTACACAATTGTGTAAGAGAGCGAGTGGATTTTATTGGATTTGTAATTAGATATTAAGAAGTAAGCTTCTTTCAGCTTTTTATGTGGTATTTCCTTGTTTGGTTCCAGGTAGCCTTGAGGAAATCTACAATATATTCTAGGCCAGGAAGCTGATTACTTGGCTTACTGACTAAGCCTGATGACATTTTTTTTGGTGTTAATCTTGGGAAATACTGGTGTGGTACTTGATACCTTGATTCATTTGTTTTCATTGTCTTGGCTCATATTAATGGAGATAATGAGTTAAAATATTGTTTATACATGACAGAAAAGGAAGTTTTCTGTTAAGTATTGGTTTTGAAAACCTGCATGTTAACTGGAAAGTAAATTGGCATCCTGAAAATATTCTTCATAACTGTTAACATAAAATGTCAGTATTGTTTTCTGTTTCACAGAGGTGAACATATAATCTTTATCACCCTTACTGTAAGCTTGAAAAAATGAGTTTCTGCTTTCTTCTATTAGAAGATGTACTAGTTTCTTAAAGATGTGGACAATAATTTCATTTTGGTATGGTTTCTCATATTGTCTTCTAACTGTATTTTATTCTTGCCTCAAGCCCTCAAATCAAAGTAGTCAGGTAGGGAATAGAGTTCTGGAAATTTCCCTCTTAAGGAACAATTTTAATATCTTCTGATTTAACACAAAAAAACCTGAAAACACTTTTCAGTATGTAAAACTACTGTTTGCCCTTTCATTGTGTTTTCTCTTAAAGCGGGGGAGGAAGATTTTTTTTTTAATTCGTTTGAGTTGTAAGCCGCTGAGCTAAAGATGAAATTATATCTTGGCTTCAACTACTTAGACTTGTGAGTAGTAAAATAATAGCTCATTGGCCCTGATCCACTTCAAGTGGACTCTTACATTTGAATTCACATGAAGATCTCTGTTCCAAGGAGATTAGGGTGAATTGATAACAGGAGGAAGCAAAAAACCAAAGGAGAGTGCACCTTAGGCCAGCTCACGAGACAGCAGCCCAAGGCACTCCCAGTGATTTCTCCCTGTCCTGTGGTAACAGATTGTTCCCTTCAGTTCAGCGAAGAGGCTCAGTCTGGGCTCATGACCAGTTCTCCTGGGTGGAGGGGCAGGAACTCCTTAAGAGTAACTACTGCCATATGAGTAAACTTTGATTAAAAAAAAAATGAAATAATTATATGCATCAGGAAAGATGCATCCCTGAAGGAACTGTTTGTTCCTTTGTGAAAGTATAGGAAATCACAATTTCTCAAGCCCAGGAGACAAAAACTGGGACACTTGGGAGTGTTGGGGAAGGAATTGCCATCATTTGTAGATTGAGTTGTTTCCCTGAAGGAGAGTATTGTTATGAAGTACCTGAAAACTCCTGTAGAAGTAAGATTCTTTTAGCAGAGTGCACCAGTCGAATTCAGAGTTTGTCATATCCACAATTTTGTGAAAGACAAAAAAGAAAACAGATTGTGGAAAAATTAAATTCCTGCTCTGTGGAAGGCTTTAAAATAAACTGTCCCATAGCAGTTCAGAATACATTTTCATCAGACATTTGAGAATTTAATGGGCTTTCATGTCAACAGAGAATTCTCATTTGAGAAAGGTGATGCTGGCATCTGAAGTAGAAAAAATTAGTCTCTGTAAAGATTAATGTTAAAGGACTTTGTTTTAGCTAGTGAAAAGTCTTTGGCTGCTGACAGATCTTTACAAAATTTATTTTTTAGTACCTCCACCAACAATTTGGGATCTGGAGTTTGCAAAGGAGATTGCAGCAATAACTGCACAGCCTCCCCGAAATGGTTTTGAGGAGATGATCCAGTGGACAAAAGAAGGAATACTGTGGGAGTTCCCAATTGACAACGAAGTCGGTATGTGCACTGTTAACTTTTATTATCTGTCTCAATTTATCTTTTTTTAAAATTAGAGCATTTTTGACCTTTGACTGTTTCAACATAGCATTTCAGCTATGAGTCATGCATTTGATAGTAAACAAATATAACTCCCTGACTGTCCCAGATCACAGATACTTCAGATGAACTCATTCTGGCACTCTTCAGGTGAAGTCCTGCAGGTGGTTTGGCTGATCTGATGACTGGCTGCTGCCAAAAAGGGGAGAACTCTCTCCCTCCCTGATGCTTTTAACACCAACAGTCCGTTCAAGTCTATTATGTAATACCTTTTACTATGCAACTTCTTTAAACTAAGCTCCTGGCAGAAGTTGGGGAATCTTAAAACTGCTGTTTGTTTTTTATAATGCTGATTCTGTTCTTTGGTGTGGGTCTCGGACAAGTGTCTAGCTGGATCTCAAATTGCTGTCTGCCAGTTCCATATCTGCCCAGGCTGAGTGTTAAACAGTTGTTTGCCCCCTTTGTTCTGTCTGTTTCATAAGAATAAACAGTCACAATATTCACTCACTCTGGGCATCTATGTTAATTAGGCATCTTTGTGCACTTTATTTTCTTCTATTACCATAAAAAAAAAAGCTTCATGTGAAGTTAAGCCAGCAGAGAGAGAGAATGAATGCAAAGGAAGCAAGAGCAACTACTCAAAAGTCTACAGTATAGGAAAGGGGACTTCATAACTTCAGGGAGAGCTTGGCTGTGGGTTTGGGGTTTTTTTAAAGACTTTAAAGACATCAAACAGAACTGCTTCATAGTGATTCAGTCACTGAGAGCAAAACAAGTTAATATCTGAAGCTGGGAGTCTTTGAAAATCTGTGCTATACTGAGTTGCAAGTTGAATAACGCGGTTCATTGTTTCTTAGTGTTTATTCTCATCCTATTTGGCAGTTTCTTCACAGAATTTAATCACTGCTCCCAGAATTGATCTGTTCCATCATGTAGAAATCCAAGTATACTCCAGTCATGTTTTCGCAAGCTTCAAACCATTGCGGCCGATGGTTTTGCTGTTGCTGTAATGTGGCTGGAACCCTGCTGTCTGGGGCCGGCCGTTGACAAAGCGTCTTTGGCGGCCGGTGGTTTCTCTGTTGCAGCAATGCGGCTGGAGCTGCGCTGTCTGGGATGGGGTGGTGGACGGACAAAGAGTCTTTACATATACTTAAACAAGAATCTTTATTGGTTTGTCCTCAAAGACTAGTCATGGGGAAAATTCCAGTGGAGCGTTCCAAAATCTATCACCTCTCAGGTTGAAATACCGAGTCAGTAAATTCCATCCTATCGAACTGCCAGCCACAGGCTATTAATCATGTCAGGTATGTCAAAGCACAGTTAAAAAGCTTGAGAACCTCACTCCAATTATATCAACATACTGTAATTTCAGTGTCTCTGCAAAAGAAAGATGCCCCTTTCTGCTGTCAATTTTGCATTTTTGTAACAGCCATTTCCCTCAATGGGAGGACATTACTTCAGCTTGTATCAAGAAGGGTGTGATTTTTCTGTTATCCCACAAGCATGTGGATTTAAAAATGTAAGTGCAATTAAATTTTCTGTTGAGGAAGCATATATACTCAACTTTTAGCATTACGATAGCCTTTAAAGTTTTAAACTAAATATAAAAAGGAAGATGACTGCTTATACCTCTTTTTCTTGGCTCCATAGCATCTCTGGTGATCTCGTTAGAGTGCTTTACCAAGGCACTGTGCTGTGCTTTGTGGCATCATGACAAGGTCATGATTTTTAAAATGATTTTGGTGTGAACATCTGAAGGTGTGGCTAGACATACTGGCTTGCTGCAGCAGCCAGCAGCAGTCTTCCCCCACACACCCCCTAGTGCCCTGTCGTCTGCTCCTCCCTGCATGTCCTTTCCCTTGTCTGATGCACTTGAAATCACCGTTAGGCAGAAAATTACCTTTTTTTTTCTCCTCTCCATCTCTCCGGGCTCTGATTAATTTTTACCAGATTAGCAAACCATTAGTACAGCTTGCATAACACCATTCTCACTCCTCCTTCTTTCTGCTTGCCTCTCCTGTTTCTAGTAGCTTTAACTTTGCTCCATGATTACCATGGCAAAAAGTTGGGAAAAACATTGATTTGTGCCTCTTTTATTATTTCTGTTCATATTGATGACTCTAAACCTGAGGAGCTAAAAATTACAGTGCAGGTTACAGGTGCTACTTTGCCTTAACACCTCATTACGAGGAGCAAATGCTTTTGGTGGGCCAGAGATTGTTACTGCACAAGTGATAGGAAAGTCTCTCTGTAAGCAAAAGTTCACCAAGTCCTGTTCTGTCTGTTTTGCTGAGACGCTGTTCCCAGAAGAGAAATATTGGATCAGCTTGCCAAGAGAAGTGGCAAAGTTACACAATCATTGTGTCAGGGTTGCTTTAGTAATTCCGGATCTGTTCTAGGGACCTACTGAAGAGGATGATTTGTCTCATTTTAAAAATCCTAAAAGGATAGAATGCTTTGTGCTGAAAGGGGCCTTTAGAGATCATCTAGTCCAAACCCCCTGCCAAGGACAGGGACATCTTTTCACTGGATCAAAATAGTCATCTTTGTAGCATGTCAGCAACACTCCCTGTAAGAGGTGGACATCTGTGTTTGAGATGACATCTTTAAGGCAAGGTTGGTCATGTCTTGGAAGGATTAATGTTGTAGGTAGAGAAATTCCCCAGACTTTCTGTTTTGTAATATGTTGGGGATTGGAAATAGGATATTGAGAGTAGATGACTTTTTGCTTTGAGGTTGAAAAAGAAAATCCTCTACTTTAGATTTCCTACTATGGGTGTTATTTCAAATTAGGTTTCTGAGGATAGTGCAAGTGAGGCTGAGGGACAGGTTTGCAGCGGGAGTCAGGGTTTGCTGGGGGAGGGTGGGGTGGGGGGAGTCATGCAAGCATATCTCATCTGATCAGTTCCCACCAGAAGTTTCAGTCTCTGATGCTTTGGGTAGTTGTGGTCTCATTTTCTGTCACGCACTTTTGTTTACTTTTTTGAGGACTGAAATATGTGGTCTAACTGAAATATTTGGATTTAACACTTCCTCCCCAAACCGTGTATCATGTCTTCAACAAAAAAGAGATCAGAATACATGATGTTATATTTCCTTCTGACCAGCATTTTTGTTCGACTATAAATAGTTTAATTTCTTTTAGCTTAGAGATGAAAATGGTGAAATTAATTATTAGACACAATCTCTCCTGACACCCTCTATCTATCCCCAAAAGAAGAGCATCCAGGAGGCCAGATTTTACTGTCAGCATTACTCAGATTCTTTCAGTAGTGAGTTTGTTGGTTTAGTTTTCTTGGATTTCTGAGACCAGCAAAAGTATGGAAGTCTGGAAAGGTTGTTAGTTTGAGAAAGCAACCAGTAACATCTAGATACAGTGAGATTCCACCTTCCCTTGGTGAGAGAAAGTCAGCACAGGTGGCGTGGTAAAAGGATCATCATTGTGCTTCTGTAAGAGGACATAGGTTTCCAAGCACAGCAGAAGTACCCTTCTGAAGCTGACATTGCCTGTTTTTTTTATTTTAACTTTCAACATAAAGGAAAAAGGAGAGAGCTTCTGAAGAAGGAAATGTGCTTTCTTTTTCCAAGAACAAGGGAGATAAATGTGATATGTAACTGGTATGGATACACTCACATATTTCTAGGAAAAATCTGTGGGAAAAATGGAGGTATTTCCCAGCTCCTTCAGATATTGCAGTATCTAAAGCTTAAAGCAGGAAAGAATACAAACTTAACAAGTTGAGAGACTTCTCCAACCCAGAGATGTGCATCATCTCTTTTGAAACTGTAGAAACTCTAACAGAGGAGGAAGCCTAGAGCTAACATAGCTTAATTACCTCCATTTTAATGCTCATGATTTAATTTTGTCAAATAGTGTAGAAAAACATGAAACTTGCTAATTTAGGAAAACATGTACACTTATGTCTCTGGTGTAGATTTCACATTTTTGTCATCTGAAAGTGGTACAATGTTTTTCTATAATACCAGATTTTTATTTAAAGGTGCAAGCAAATTGGGATCAAATAACAATTTTCATGTATATCTAACTGAAGAAAAATCTTTCTTTGCAAATCCCAGTTTGCCTCATTATTTTTTTTTCTTGGAATTGGGAATGGCAAAAGCAGCCTTTTTTCTGCATGTAGAAATTTGTGTTCTGAGTCTTTGTCTGTAGCATCATAGTATGAACAATGGCAAAAGAAATTCACGGGACAGAGAACAAAAATTTGGTGTAGGATCTGAGCTGTGCTTGATTAGAGATCTCCAATAATCCCTTATCCCCTGTTCTGTGGGTGCTTCTGAATTTATCATCTTTGGTGATGGTTGTGACTTAAAAGTAGCAGCTGGTGAGAGACACAACATTTTTACATCAGCATATACTCACAGATTCAGAAGATGTCAGAAAAAACAATTTCTCTGCCCGTTTGATAGCAATAGGATGTTAAAACTGTGACTCGGAACGGACATGCAAGTAAGTGTGTGTTAGCTGTTCAGTATTTACGAGGTTGCCTCATTTGTTCAAGGCTAGCTTGTATTCTTTAATCCTCTGCAGAATTTAGGCAATCAGTGTTTTCTTTAAGAATTTATTAAGAAAGTGCCCCCAGCCAGCTACCACTGGTGAATCAAAATTTTCAGGTGTTGACCAAACCGGATTTTGGCAAGAAGATTGATTATGGTTATAATTATTCCTACTCCTATTCCGGCATCAGCTTTTAGTGAGATTACCAGCCAGAAAGTTGATTTAAATATTACATATTCTATAAATGTGAGCAGAACCATTAATTTTACTAATTTAAGATTATTTGCAAACTATATATTTTTTTACTCTGTTATGTTATGAAAATAACTTTGTCTTTTTTTGTGTTTTCTACTAGGGATGGATGATGACGCTGAATTTCATGAACATATCTTTCTGGACAAACACCTCGAAGGCTTTCCCAAGGAAGGACCTATTCGCCACTTCATGGAACTAGTCATCTGTGGGCTCTCAAAAAACCCATACCTCAGTGTTAAGCAGAAGATTGAACATATTGAATGGTTTGAGAAGTATTTTGAGGAAAAGAAGGAACTTCTTCAAGAGATTTGAGACTTGGGAAAGTGCTTACCCTTGAAATGAAGAATCATTGTGTCGCGAATGACGATTTGTTATAATGGAAATACTGTCAGTGCATAGTAATTGTGTGACCTGAAAGTTGTATTTTAAATAATAAACTGAAAGGTCATACTTTCTTATGTGCGTGTCCATGTATATGTAGATACTTTTGACAACAAAAGAAGGAACTGAAAAGTAAGGCTTTTGTAGAATGTGCATTTAAAATTTAGTTTATTAAAATTGTTGTCTTTTGAATTTGAAACTTCTGATACAACTCTAATTTTGAAAAACTGTTACTGAGATAGTAAGGGTTCATTTTGCTAATTCATTAACCACACTGATATTTGGATAGTATTAATCCTTTCTCTCCTCCTTTCACTAATTATCTTTACTGGTTCATTTTAAAGTTTTTGGTAAAGACCAAGTAATTTGAATTATATGCTTGTTGGTTCATCTGCTCAATGAAAGGCTGTTGTGTTCATGAGATGTGTGAACAGCATAACACGGGTAAGTTATAGAAAATAATAAGGGAGTGGTTGATATTGGGACCGGTGCCAATGGCTTTAAACTGTAAAAGGGCAAGTTTAGATTAGATGTTAGGAAGAAATTCTTTACTGTGAGGGTGGTGAGGCACTGTCACAGGTTGCCCAGAGAAGTTGTGGATGTCCCATCCCTGGAAGTGCTCAAGGCCAGACTGGATGGGTCCTTGAGCAACCTGGTCTAGTGGAAGGTGTCCCTGTCCACGGCAGAAGGGTTGGAACTAGGTGATCTCAAAGGTAGGTCCCTTTCAACCCAAAACATGCTATGATTCTGTGATTCTATGAAATCTCTCTTACCATCTATACATCCACTCTGAAGCTTTTGACTAACTTCCCATTGGTATTTGTTGTTTAAAAATGGGTCTGGATGTCAAGTAATACATAAAATTCTGTTTCACTAGAGCAAGCATTTTTATGATTACTGCAGCGTTTGGAGCTGAGACCTTATCTCCTGCATCTGCAGGGCTAGGAAGAGAACTTGGCAGTCCTGACAAGGAGGGTTGTTGCCATCATCCTCATGATGCCACTGCTGGTTTCTGTCTAGTTCTCTGATGCTGGTGAAGCAACTTCATATTTTCTACATAATACTTTCTTCTAATTAAATGTGTATGGTCCTTTGCATCTATTAAGCTGTTGCAACATATTTTACTTCAGTTCTGTCCATCCAGAACTACTCACTCATAATCGGGGATTCTGAATGACCATCTTGCTGCTTAACTTTCGAGAACATTTCCTGTCTTGCGTATTGTGTTCTTCCTTGTTCTCTCCAACCATGTTAGCAACTATTGGCCCTATAAAATGCACTCCTGTCTGTTTCTCACATTTCCTCGTAACTCAAGCAGGAAGGAGGATGTATATAGAATTCATTATAGAAGGAAGGTAAATCACTAGCTTCATATGCAAAATGTTTTTAAAATAAGAATTACAAGAAAGTGAATGAAAAATAGAGAGTCGGCCTTTTTCTATGAGTTGGAATACTGTTGCTGTGATCCACTCATCTCCAAGACATTAGTTTGCATGTCTGGCAAAGGAAAGACTCAGGCTGTGGAAAGGAGAAGCAACTTTTTTGACTTTCTGGCTGTAAGAACAGAAAGGTTCAAGTTCTGCAGAAATTTTTAGAGGTTTTCTGGATATGAAATGGAGAGAGTAAGAATTAAATCAAAATATCTGTATTTGGTACTGTGATAGTTTGGTTCAAATAGATTTTGGTTCAATGCCCAGATATGTTTTGCTCAAAAAATATCATTCTTCCCAAATTTCTACCAAACTATAACACACAGCCTGCGTTCTGGTGTATTCAAGCCTTTGCTAAAACAAGGTACAGTAACTTTGAAGTCAGTGCAGGATTCTAGAAATAGCCTCTATGTATTTGCATATAGTCTGTGTTTTGATAGGAAAGACAAGATACTCAGAAGCTCGGCTCTTGCTGGAAGAGATTCAGGAGCATAAGCTGTATATGAAAGTACTGAGTTTCCCAGCACTGGGAGCGAGGTGAATGTTATTGTTTAAACAGATTCATTAGGAGGTCAGTCCTCTGGCAAGCTCTTAACAAGAGCTCTTGATGCTTACGATCTTTGGAAAGCTGTAGTAATTCCTACTTAGGTGCTTAAATATAGATTTGAGAGTTAATACTAGGCAACAGGATTTGAATAATCAGACCTAGCTGCCCATATGTACGGATGCTTACTGGGAATGCTCACGGCACATTAAGAGAGCCCTAGTGGCAGGGCTTTTATGTGTGTGGATTTTTTGGGGTGTACACTGCTCGGTGGAAGGCTTTACTACCTTTTAAAGCATGGCTTACAGATTAGTTACTTAAAGCATAAAAATCCCCCCTTTTCTTTTGAAGCACAAAGGATAAAAGCTGTCTGCTGTTGTTCAGAGTGGAGCCAGTGCTGCAGCTGTTGATTCCCCTCTGGGAATCATTTGGCTTTTCTTCAGATGGTTGGTTTTCCATGTCTTGTAACTGGTTAGGTGGTATTACATGGTAACTCAATGGACTCATTAGGATCTGTCCAAGGCAAAATAGTATTTGTTGTGTTCTACACTTACATTTCCATCTTTATGCATGAAGCTGAGGTCTTGTAATGCGCTGCTAATGATGTATCTCCTGGACACCCACACTGGAAAGTCATCTGGCTTTGGGGGGAGCTAGGGTTGGTGCTGCCCTGGGAGAGCAAGAAGATGGAGCAGACTGACCCAGAGCCATAATTGCAGGGAACGTTGTCCATGTGCAACTTTTAGGTGACAGTTTTTCCTCTGAGGTGACTACAGTGGGTACGTAGCAAAAGGAGAATTTCATGTTGAGTGGAGGTGGCTGAACTACTGCAAAGTTGCATGCAAAGGCTTAGAGACTTGCTGTTGGAGACAGTGGTAGCTGTTGTTAGTGCTGTGAATGATGGTAGTGGCTTCCCAGCTTGGCTTCTATACCATGAAGAAGTCCAAGTTCCATTTCCCTCACTTTCTATTACATCTGGGTAGTCTCCATTTTCCACCTGTCTAGTGCTACCACAGCAGTTCCAGAGGGTCTCTGGTTGTCTTGGAGGAGACAGAGCATTTGCTCCCCAGTGAGGTATTAAGAAGCAGGAGGAATGATTGTATGGTTGGAGTGAGAGATTATCCGTGCTGGGATTTCAGGATGTTAACCCCTAGAAAGCAATTATGCTGCAGCATTGCTGTGGCTTATGCCTAACTGGAGGCTTGTGCAAACACTTATCTGAGCACTGGAAGAAAGATGGCAGTGGCTTAATTTAACTCTTTGGACCTGGCAGAAGGGCTAAAATGCAGGCAGTTTTTGCTTAAACCATGTATTTCTAGATGACGAGGAGCCTGCAGTTTGGGACAAAGGCAAGATTTTCCTCTGTATCCACTCCATTCATTTTAGCCCCTCTGCCAGGTTTTCACCACAGACACAGTTACAGGTGCTTTGGGAAGTCAGGCCACCACTGCAATGGTGTCCAGCATGACATGGTGAGGTTGTAAATCCAACCCTGCCCAGTGGCTGTGGCATTTTCATCTCATGATCTCCACAAGATGTCAGTGTAGATTTATTGGATTAGATATAAAAATCCTTGTGCTGTTCCCTCCAGCAGATTAAAGCAAAAACTGTTCTAGAGCTGCACAATAGGTTTGATTGTGCTCTGGAATGTGTTACCCATGGAGCAGTGAGGTGGCGAGGGTTGGCATCCAGGGAGGAGAGCGAGTGACACCCTGAAATGGGAGCGCAGCTCCTGGCTAAAACATGCAATGCTTTGCTTGTATCAGGGTGCCCTTATTCCCTTGGGGACAAGCTGCATATGCACTTGTGTGATAAAGTGCTCTACAATTTACTCAAAGAAAAGCTGGAAGCCTGAATTAAAACTAGAAGGGCCAGCCTGGGTGGCAGGAAGGATGTGAAGGTGGTTGGATCAAGTCATGTATTGGAGAAGCTGGCATGTGGTGTCCAAAGGTTGCTTGGTTTCTTTACATAGAAAAATAGTCTTGCAATGTCCAATGAGCTGTGATCCTGCAAAGAAACTGGGACATAATATCTAGCCCAAGGGAGTTCCCCTTCATCTTTTAGCTCTTTCGCATAGCAGTCCCTGCCTATCAGAGAGACTTTTTAATGCCTGTCGAGGTGAACTGAGATGGATGTCAACAAAAGAGGAGTTTTTTCATGGCAGAAAATCCCCTGAAGTGCTGGCAGTGGGCCGTTTTGGTGGAGATGATGACCAAAGCCTGGCTATGGCCAGGAGGGAGCTTCCCCAGCCGCTCCATGCCCCTGCACTGCCCAGCCTTTCCTGGGACTACCCTACCCTGGGCACTGCTGGAACAGCTAAGGTTCCCCCAGGCTGCCAACTCCCAGCTGCTGCGACCACGGCAAGGAAAAGAGGCAGCATGGCCAGCAGCCAGAGGGATGTTTCAGAGCCAGCTTTCCTCTTTTTTCCCTTGCAGCCCCTGGTATTTATTCCCATTTTCCCAATAAAAGCCAAATGCAATGCAGACCCCGGCGCCTCTCCTTGCAGCTGGGGCTGCGGCCCGACGGCGCTGGCGTGGCGTGGGTGGCCCCGTTCCCATCGCTGTGCTCGGGAGCCGCGGGACCGATGATTCATTTGTGGTCCCGGGCGCTGCACCCTGCCACCCGCGAGGGAGGAGGGAGCGAGGGAGCGAAAGGTGACGGTATTTGTCAGCGCTGGCAGAAATAGCCACGTTTCAGATTTCACTGGGGAGGTGGGGAGGCAGAGAGGGAGATCAAGACCAGTGTGATGCTCAGCCCCGTTCTCAGACTGCCTCGTAGCCAGGTGTGGGGGGGAAAGCAGTGCCCTATTTTCCTTATGGGCAAGCATTTGCCCACCTAAATGTGAGGGGATCCGAACCACTCCTAGCATTTGCTTTGTGCAGATCAGGTAGAGAGTGGGATACAAACTCCCTCTCCCCTTGATGTGTCATGTCAGCTCACCCTGCAGACAGCTGAGATGACTTTCTGGGGTAAAGGGAAATTCCCTGAGAAGGCACTGGTGCTTTCCTGCTCTCTATGCCACAGCAGCTGCTGGACTCCACTTGACTGGTGACCACATTGGAGAATGATTCTTATTTTCTTGCTAGTGAAGGGATTTTGCGTGTTCAAAGGCTGGACTCTGCCCGCAGCTTGCCCCTGGAATGGGCCAGAGGCTGGGATGTGCTCCTGGGCTGCCCAGGGTGCTCTCTAAAGCTGGGCAGTTTTCAAAGACAGGATAATCTTATCTTTA